GTTCTCCCTGCCCCTGCTTGAATACTCTGCCTTCCTCACACAGTTTATATATTGGGGTTAATTATCCTGTAATAACAACAGAATTGTTGAAGTAATCACTGAGCATCTGGATCATTCTTATCCAGTTTTTAAAAATTATTCTTACATTTCAGTTGTCTCACATTGGGTTTTTTCCACCAAGAATGGAGCCCTTGCTTTTGTAATTCTCTGACTGTACCAGCACTTTCAGTTACTGCCATCACCATTCACCTCTTGCAAGTATTTGGCAGTATCTTTTTCTCAGCTGTTCTCGAACAGCTTTTTGTGCTTAGGGAAATTTTGCACTTTTCTTTACACCTCGCATAAAGATGCTGCCATTGTTTCTTGGAAGCTTGCCTTTTAGTAAACAATCTTACCTTGTCTCTTTCTCGTGCTCTCTTTAATGCGCACGCATGCAGTTTTAAAAGTGCTCTTGCAGAGCACAAGGTTCATGTTTTTATGCATTTTGTGCCAAAACAGTAGAAACAGTGACTCACCATCAGGTCGTGTATTGTTTATGCATGAAAAAAAAAAAGATTTCTACAGAGGCACTCATTGTTTGCAGTTCCATGCTTGGGTTGCAAGCATCTCAGCGACATCACGCAGCACTCAATGGCAAAATAAGCAGTATTTTGCAGGGTTGCTTACTGCAAGTTACAATCAAGGCCAACAATATTGGACAATCACACCATTGCTGTAATTTTGACTCTGCATACCATGTAAGTGGATTTTAGTGGATGTGATTGAAGTATAGCTTTAAGCTTTCAGGTTTTATTCAAGAGATTTAACAAAAGCACTAAATGAACTGTTTGGGAATTACAAGAGCTTTATTTATTCATTTTCAGAGGCTCAAAGGTAAGTCAACATTTGACTGAAAAAAGCAGTGTCGTGGCCAGGTGAAGCAGATGTAAGATCTGGAGTTGATTCCAAATTGTATTTGTCAGCTATTTGCTGTAACTCTCAACATGGGCTCTAAAGAGATATTGATTCAATTATCATTAAGGTGATAAAACAAAATGAAACCCATGAGAGCAACCAGAACAACTTGGATAGTGGCCAAAATCAATAATCTGACATTTTTAAAAAGAAGGAAAGCACCTGTCAGCTCAACAAAACTAAAGTCTGGGAGATCACAGAAGTTAAAATGATCATTGAAAAAATGATTTTCTTGGCTAACAAAAACTGTAGCTAAGTCTTATCATTGCCAGGTTATTAAAATGTAAATTACTCAAAAGTATTAAAAACAATCTGTATCTGTAAAATTATGTCACTTATATATTATATTATCATATTGATATTGATATTTGTATGACCACTAAAGCAAGTTCTGTCATCTTCAACGATGCTGTGGTGGCTGCATACTTCCAGGTGCACAAAGGGCAATGTATTACAACAGTCCTGAAACTTAGACACCAGTTTGTTTGTTTTTCCACTCAGTTGTAAAAAACAAACAAACAAAAAACATTAAACACTGTAATTTTTATTTCAACTGTGAATCTGTAAATTGCTCAGAAAAAAAGGTTCACAACATATTTATCTCATCCATTGTGGACACATATTAACATATTTAATAATGGTCTATCCTCTACATCAAATGGCTGAACGAGATACTTCAAGTCAGTTGCCTGGATAAGCATCCAGGCAAATTGTTATAATTCTAACAAAGGAGATGGCTGATACTTTGGGAAATATATAGTATATATATATATATATTTTGTATGTGCACAAGTTAAAAAACAACTAAGGCCATTTTGTATTAACACGTTTCCTGTAAGCCTTACATAACCCCAACAGAAGCTTTTTTTTTTTTTAAGTTTTTTTTAATTTAATGTGTCATTTTTTTCTTTTCTTTTTTTTCTTTTCTTTTCTTCTTTTTTTACATAGTAGCACAGTGTGATTTAGTCCAGCGTCTCTTCCTTCCAGGAAAGTGCACTTGAAACACAGCAGCAGTTGGCTGCTGGGCCTCTGTGTTGGCACCTCTCTCTCTGGGCAGGGTGGCAGCTGCAAAGGACAGCAAGTGAATCCCTCTGATTATTACACAACCGTCTGCAATGTACCACAGCACCGTGCCATCATAGCTAGCCCTTTCATCAACTGAGGTACAAGCGCTTCAGTCAGTGCAGAGAAGGGAGTACAGGGAGTCCTGTATTAATAATGCAGTCTGCACATGGCTCACTTTTTAGGACTTCACCTCAGTGCTTTGATCCCTGTAAGATATCCAAAATATGAATATATTGGCACAGATCTATGGGGGTTTTTTTAATGGATTTTTTTTTTTAAAAAAAGGAGTTTTTAAAAATAAAATAGTAAGTGTTTTCTGTAAAATTCTTAATAATCACATAATAATATATATATATTATTTGTTATTTAACCTAAGATATATATTTCTTCAGGTGAAAATGTATGTTGTTTATGTAAAATTTAAAATATAAAGTTCATTATTGCTTTCCAAAAACCACTGTTTCCATTAGCCACACAACTGACTGGTTCTTATAGCACTTTTCTCTATCTGAAAAGTCAAAGTGCTCTACACAACTTGCACCCGTGCACTTTTTTTTTATCTATGCTGTTTCCAAGTGCTTACTTAGTACTCATTCATACTCCAATGGATGCATCGGAGAGCAACATGGAGTTAGCATCTAGCCCAAGAATATTTGGCATGCAGATTGGAGCAGACTGTGATTAAACTACCAACCTTCCGGTTAGTAGGTGACCTGCTCTATCATCTGAGCTACAGCCACCCCAATGACATATGACAAGGACCTACAGACACACAAGCATGCAGAATAGTTGGCAATAACTTGTTAACAACTGATCATTAAGGAAAAATTAGTATTTCTCGACCTGTTGTGAATGTTTGCTTAATCAAGTGCTAAAGCCCCAATTATGCAAGACCAGAGTCAGGTCAGTAGCCATGAGTCTTTACCTTCTCATCCCTTCTTACATTCCCGAAAAACTATGGTCAGTCACAGCAATCTGCTAGAGACCAAACAACAAGCAAAGAGGTTTTCAGTGTAGCACCGCATATCTCTTTGTAACCAGTTTCACTAAGTGAAAGCCAGCAACCTCCATCAGTGACTTGCCAACAAGTCAGGGATTGCATATTTTTCACATGAATTGTGACCATTTTGGTTTCTGGCAATCCCATGTCTAAAATTCCTTACAGACAACTACATGCTGGGGCAACTGGTTTGTTTTTGTTTTTTATGCTTTTTTTTTTCTTCTAATAAGGCAATACTGACTTAGATGAAGTAATTAAAGGGCCCCAATTTTAATGACAGAAATGTAAATTACCAAAAAGTTTTGAAAAATGTTAAACTCATTATAAAAGGAACCATTTCTTTACACTCATCTTTGTTTCTTGTTTCAAACACCACGAACATTCAGTTATAAAATATTGATTATCCATGAACCATTATTTAGAATATGCAAAGCATTTAAAAAAAAAAGATTATTATCTGCTTAGTTAAACTGTTAAAGCTTTCCTTGAGCATCTCGATTACTTAAAAGGGATGCCATGTGACAAAACAGAGGAATGCAACACATAAAATTTAAAAAGGGAGTTCAAGCGAAAGGGCAACTACAGTTCTCTGGACCATTGCTAATTAATATTATATTGGTCATATAATATTAATCGTATTAACTGTCTTCTGAAAGCGTAAATCAAAGGAATCTGATTTCAGTAACAGTTAAAGTAGTGACTTCTTTTCGAAAGCAGTGTTGAAAAAGTCGTGATGCTAAAGATACCACCACGTTATATCAATATATGACAGTCTTCATTAGACATGACATTCAGTGACTTTTGAACTATTGAATCAATGATGCTTGTTGGGATGTAAAATGTCAAGCTGAAAATAATATGACCTTTCACATTAATTTGGACTATGCTTCCTGCATTAGCACTGAGTGCTGGTTGGAGTGTCCTCTAATGCCTATGTATGTCATTTTCAACTGCATATAGAATTTTTCAAATGTTTCTCTCTGTGTTTATAATATGTATTTATCTATATGTATTAATTGGGTATGTATGTTTCTGCTGGTTTTCTTCATGCCTCATTAACTGCTCAACTGTAATCTGCTTGGGATTAGTAACACTCTGAGCAGGGTAACAGGGGAATGGTTGCATAACTTCTTCCTTCAGCCAAGACACTCAGTATAAACTGGGATTTATTGCCAAGGCTGACTGTCAAGATACTTCAATCCATTATCATTAAAGGCAGATCATGAATGTGATTTTAAATGCACTACATGCGTATAATGCACATGCATACAACTATTTACTAATTACTGTCAGAATGTGTGATACTGAGGTTGTCTTTTTACTTCATGAGTCTGTGAAAGTGGAAGCTTTCAGGTGGCTGGATCCTAACCCAGTCGCCATAGGGCGAGAGGCAGAGTACACCGTGGAAAGGTCACCTATCTGTCACAGGGCTAATAAAACCATCTGGCTAATATTGTGTCATACTTGTCGCCAAAAGAGCTC